AAAGTATAAAAATTTACATTACATTTAATAAAAACATTATTGATGTAAATGCAAATAATTTTATATGTACCTATATACATATAGCTTTTGTATTATTATTATAATAATGTTATCCCTCCAGCATTATTACGAAATTTTATCATAGTTTACACACTCTGGGCCATTGAGGGAAATAGCATATATTTTTTATGGATTACATAAAAATTCGAAAAAATTCTTGTACACTTGTAAAACATTAAACAATTAGTTGTTGTTAACTAATAATAATGTTAACATTTAACATTTAGTTGTTAATAAAATTAATTATTATTCATTAACTGTCAATTAATAAATTACAAAATCTAAAAGAGCATCTAATATACAAGCAACTCATTTATGTATATATCTAAGTAGCATTCTGGGCATTGTCTCTTAATCTTAATCATAAGATCGCATATTCCGTTTGTATGTATTTTGTTGTTTGTATTGCAGTTAATCGTTTATAATGTTTGTTGTTCTTAAAATTTTTTACTTTTGATGTTTTTTCAAGTCCTTGATATAATTTATAAATACATTTCTAGAACTAAAGAAAATTACTTAGTTATTATACTTTCGTTCGTAGAGTTTCTCTATTTTTCCCTTTACCTTATTTTTTCAAGAATTAAAAGTTGAATGGCATAATTACAATCCACTTCTGTTTAGAATTATGTATAATCACAATCATATTATCATGATACTTTTAATGATTATTGCAATTGGCAGGAAACGCAGACATTTGTTTTTTGTTGATAATATATTGTTGCCACAGAAACAAGTAAGCAAAAAAAGAAACTTATATCCTTTAGAGAATGGTTTTTTTTTACTTTACGAGTATATCTTTATTTTTTGCATTAGCAGTATAATTTTATGGTCGGAAAACACGTTATTAGATCGCTAATAAAATTATAGGATGTTCATACAAATAATAAGTACCGTCTCATCATATCATCGTACTATACGACATATAGTAGCGATTGATCCGTGTTTTTCTGATTGTGAGTGGGGATGCATTGTGTGGGGATAAAATGGACAGTGTACTTTCAGTTTCTCCTCAAACGAGCATACCGGATGTGTTTATATTGATCTCCATTTTCTTAAGTTTAAAAAGTGTAGGCGAAGGCGAATCATGAGTACTGTCAGCCCGGCGGTGAAAATTGGCCTTCGACTTCTCGGCATATGGCCAGATGTATCATATTCTACTACTTATTGGTTGAGTTTTATGTCGAGTATGTTGGTCATACAATACTTCCAATATTTATACATATTTGAACATTTGAGTATGAGCGAGCTGTCAAATCTTGTTGATGGACTGCCTATGACTCTTGACTATAGTTTGACATTTTTTAAATTAACAAGCCTGTGGATACAACGTCGGTAAGATATTATATTAAAAGGAGTTGTGACTGGTGACCCACGCTGGAGCTGGATTTTTTGATCAGGCAATTTAATATTTTGGCTATAGAAAAACATGGGGGGATCCCATTTGT